GAAAGGTGAGGAATAAAAAAGTAAATGAATACTTACACCCATTATAAGTGAAGGGTTAATTGAGGAATGGATGTTGGTGGAAGTATGTATGCTTCTGGAGAAATGATCGTGGGTTAGTCCATATGCCAGTCCAGAGAAAAGAGAAGGGTAAGAAAATTAGGAGGAGAAAAATCAAAGAGAGGAGGCTCAAGAGAGCATACAAACATCCACCTTCAGAGGGGCAAATACAAGATGCATGAGCTGACAGATCCAATCTGTAATGGGGTAAGGAAAGAGGCTCTAGGTACAAAAGGACAGTGAGAGGAACCACAACAAGGAAGAGTGTGACAAAACAGAGTGCCCTGGACCAGACACGAGCATCTGTCTGGATCAGAAATAACAGTGAAAAGAGAAAACTGATGGCTAGGACATGGGAGAAAATGAGTGACTGCTTTCGCCTGCCAAGGAATACGAGGGAAGGAAAAACTAGTCAGGACAAAAGAAAAGGGAGGTGTGGTAATGAGAAAGCAGGAGGAAACATGGGCATAAATACATGTACAACAGCTATCAACATCAAGTAGGAGTAGGGCTAATGTGTAATGGGAAAGCAGAAGCATCTGCTATAGGTTTGATAGGGACTCCTATAAGACAATGGAGAACCACAATGATAATCCAATCAGGCAAGTAGGAATGGGACAGTGGATAAGGAAGGAATGAAAAAAGGTAGAAAAGAGGCAAAGAAGAAAGTGAATTGTGACATCGGGGAAGGTAGAAGAAATACCACCATAAAACCCAAGATAGAAGAGACTTGCAGTTCATGGGCTAACCATCCAGTGAAAGAGTAGAAATGTGTTACAATGTAATGAAGTCAAAGGGAAATTATGACAATGAGACCAAGGTGATAAGTGCATCCTGTACATTGGCACACAGAAGATGCAGAAGGGTGAAAGGAGTGGGATAAATGGATGGCTACATGATCTAGGAGGTGGAATGGACAATCCCACATTTATTGTTAAAGAGATGTCATATCCTAAGGAAACAACAATGTGTGAGGGTGGATCAGAATGGATGGAAAGTTGTGTAGGGGAAGTCAGAGCTGAGACTTGAGGAGATGAAGTAATAGAAACATGGTTGGGATAGCCTATGAGGGGCCACCAAATGGACCCCTTAATAGGTGTCCCAAAACTGAGCAAGGACCAAAGAGAGGAGATGGAGAGGAGGACATGCATGATAAAAAAAAAGATGGGACTAGTCCAGACTGAAGGTATAGATAACCAGAGCTGAGGAATGAGGCTCAGGAGGCCAAAATAGAAGAAGTTAGCAAAGAGGAGTGTGGCAAGACAACAAAAGGAGGAGGATCAATTAGAAAACAGAACACTAGTGGGTGAGGAACCAATCTGTGAGTAGGATGTAGTAATGCCAAAAAGACAGCCTGTGACAATGTGCAGTGCCCCCAGAACATAATAGGTTGTGAAACTCACTTAAATCAAATAGGCTCAGAACTATATCTGGGAAGGAAAGAAGATTAAACATTATCCACTTTGAATACATGTCACGGAGTAAGTAGCCACATCTAAACATTGATTATGTGTGATATGATATGGAGTAAATGATTATGTCTAAGTTCTATCTTCTAATGGTACGTGAAGTAATAATGAACTAGATATAATCTAATCTACAATGAGTACAGACTAAGAAGTAATAAACTATAATAAAATATTATCATGAATGTGTGACATGTTATGGATAAATGATTATGTTGAAAACCCTATCTTCTAATGGTAATATGTAAAGGAGTAAATAACCAGATCTAATAATTAACTTTTTTGTGTACATATGAACGAGAGATAACATGTGGTATATGTTAATGAGTAAGTAATTATGATTAAATATTATTGTCTATGTAGTACAAGTTAAGGAACTAGATCTATACAATATATGGAATGTGAATGTGTTAAGGAGAACTAACGATGTCTTAACATTAAGCCCTATGAGTTACATGTTAAAAAAGAATAAACTCTATCTAAACAGTAACTCCTACATGTTACCTGATAAGGCTGGAAGGATGAGGCATAAAACAGCAGGAGCAAAGTTAAACCCAAAGTAAATGCTGAGTGCAGAACTAACAGTTTGGGTGGGGAGAAGTAAGGAAACAACAGGTAGGAGGTATACATAAGGCGGTTGGGAAGAGTCGGGAGGTATTCATTAGGTGGAGAAGTATTGGGTGAAAAAAGTCACTAAATTTCATCCTCCTCAACTTCAGCTTCAAATTCTGTGAAGGGAAATGTGTGGCAAGGATGAATTGTAGGTGGGATTTTCACACAGCTGGTGGCATGCAAGTCTCTCAGGCAGAAGAGTGCAGCTTCAAGAGGAAAATAAATAATCTATGTATGGAGATGAGTCATTGTATAAAAAGTTCAAATATCTGTATAAAACAGTTTCAATGACACAAAAAGAATATCTTTCAAGTAGAAGTGATTTTAGACTAAAATACCACACCTTGTGGAGTAACCCTCTCCTTAAAAGAAAGATCTCTGTTGGAAAAACTAAACTTACTCTATCAATAAAATGATTATACAGACTAATAGAGGCATTGTTGCTATAGCAAGACATGACTTTATAAAAAATAATCTACCCTTAAGAAAGGAGTAAATGCAGCAGATGTACAACAGAACAAAAGAGCTGGACCATCAACATCAATAGTAAGTCTTTATTGTTGGTTAAGACAAAATGTATTACATGACACTTTACCTGATTGAGAAATGAAGAAACATACATCATCTCGAAAGATTGGAGTGTTACGATCCAAAAAGTCACTGGCTAGTTCAACCATAACTGGTAATTCAGTGAGTTCTTCTAAAATTTGACGTGTCTAGCAAAAGATATAATATTGAATAATTTGGTTTCATGCCAGAAAAAAAAGTTTCAATTAAGTTTTAGAAAGCAATTCACTCATAATTAAAATAATCTTAAAATAAAGAGAGGGAAAATGGGTTATATCATATACACTGTTTAATGTTTTGTTTAAAGCATGGAATTTCAAGTTGATCTTCCCTAGCACAGAATGCATTTTTGGTTTGTAAAAATAAAAAAATAAGTATCTTTATAATTTGATCATATTTTTAGTATGCACTACTTGTTAATTCTGCACTGTGCAATTTCATCACATTTCAGATTAACATTTAATTATTTCAAACCATGTACAATTTGTTTGAAAGCAAATTAACTGAAAATATATATATATCAAAATTAATAGTTATTAATACTCTGAATGATACATGTATTTATGTTCAAGTGATGATAAGTAATTTTCATTAATAAGAACAACCTATTACTTTAATGAAACTATCATATGCAAATTTCAGAAAGAAGGAATATTTACACGATTAAAATACTTTAATATGTAGAATAATAAACATAGGGTAAAGCAAGATAAGGTACTCTCATCCACTTACAGGAAAAATTTTTAGCCTAATACTTACAGCAATGGCACTGTGATAACTGGTTCCACATCCAATTAGCAAAAGCCGCCGGCAACGTTTTATCTCAGGAATGTAATCCTTGATGCCACCCAAAACAAGTGTCTCTCTATCAAAATTAACTCTTCCTCTCATGGTGTTGATCACTGACTCTGGCTGTTCAAAAATTTCTTTTTGCATGAAGGAGCTATAGTTGCCTATAATTTAGACTATAATTTAGTTACTTAACTTTCTGTTATTTTATTCTCATGAGTGATTGTAATCAGACTATTGTGCTATAGACAAGAAACAGATTACAGTTCAACTATTCTCACTGAGAAAAATACAAACAGTATAAAATTGTCATTGGTTGATTTTTTTTTCTTAAGTATATACAATAGATAATTTCAAGTAAGCATAGGTTAATGTAATAAAATTCAGTTGTCATACAACAACAAAATATTTATTTATCCAACAAATGTACTTATATGTTTAGAACTTGAAACAGAAAACAATGCTGCAAATCAATTTCATACATTCTAAAACTTCTTTTCCAAACAGAGAATAAAGACAGGTATTAACATTTATGTGATTATATTAAATGTTTCCAGATCAGAGGTGTGTCATTGATATCTTTTGATTTTTTTCCTTCTCACAGTGAAAATATTCAACCAAATTGTATGAAACTTAGTATAAACTTATTAAACAGCATCTAGTTTCTGCAACAGAAAATTATATAATTTGATTTACTTTTTTTATTTTGTGGAATTTCCAAAATGTTTGAAACAGCATTCTAAAAAAACTTTATAAATACTTCATTTCATCTTAGAATTTCAATCGTTTTTATTATTGATCAGAAAGTTCCATTTTATATATCCAGGCAATTTCAACTTAATGGATATTCATTAACATATACTTTTTAATGCTGAGAACTTGTACACACGTAGTCAGAAAGCCAATCAGACTGTACCTAATGTGCTCGCTCCCTTGACCATCAGACACTAAGGACCCATGCTAGTCCTGGGAGAAGGGCACCATAGTGAATACAAAATAAGGATACTTATGAAACCACCATTCAACCATCAGACTCTACAGGGCTATCACCAGCTGTGGGAGTAGAGCTAATGGGTGATACATGAAATATCAAACTCTGCAAGAAAAAGCAGAGAGGTTATGTCTTTGCAGGAATTGACAAAATAGAAAGAAAAGTAAGTGAAAGGTATTAAGACAGGCTGGGATGGTCTGGACTACACTCCAGAAACAGACCCAGAAAACGTACCTGGATCCCCTTCAGTCCAGAAAGGTTTTTTTACTGGAGACAGTGCATTGGGTAACTGCAAAACCCTTTCTTTAAAAGTCAGCAAGTGCTAGCCAAAGAAGCAGGCAGAACCACAATTTTGGTGCTAGCATTTTCCATGATAGTCCAGGGAATAGGTACAGTCTGGATTGGAATGGAAAAATTTTATATATATAACTACCATAAGTGGAACTCCAGTGGTCTTGCAGAACACCCCATTTTATAGTAGGCACTGACTGGGTCAGTACAAATGGTCTGAGAGCTTTCCATTATCCTGGCCTGATGCAGAATTTTGGGTAAGTATAATCTGTGAAGCAACACTAGCTGCCTAGTGGGATCCAAAATTAGAAGAGCGATGGGGAAGGAATTAGTGAATGAATACTCACACTCATACAGGTACAGGGTTAATTGAAGAATGAACATTGGTGGAAATCTGTATGCTACTGGAGATGAGACAGCCAGATGGTGGAGATAGCTTAATATGAGACAAATGATTGTGAGGTAGTTCACATGCCAGCTCAGAGAAAAGTGGGAATAAAATGAAGAGAGGAGGCTTGAGAGAACAGACAAACATTTGCCAGTGGAGGGACGTATACAAGATGTATGAGCTGATGGATCTAATCTGCAGTGGAATAAGGAGAGAGGGCCCGGATAGAGGAGGTGTCCCAGTTACAAAAGAACAGTGAGAGAAACCACAAGGAGGAAGAGCATGACAAAACACTGAGCAGCCCAGACAGGACAAGAGGATCTGTCCAGAACAGAAATAACATCAAAAAGAGAAATTGAAGGAGGGAATATGGGAGAAAGGAAGTGACCACGTTCTCCTGCCATGGAACATGAGGGAAAGAAAGACTGACCAGGACTAAGGAGAAGGGATGAGCGATAATGAGAAAGTGGGAGGAAACAAGGGTGTAGAAATAGGTACAACAAGAAGTAAGAATAGGACTTGTGTGTCCAGGGAGAGTAGAAACATCTGCTAGAGGTTTGATAGGGACCTGGGTAAGAGCATGGAGAAACACAATGATAATCCAATCAGGCAAGGAAGGGGGACAGTGGATAAGGAAGGAATGAAAGAGAGTAGAAAGAGGCAGAGAAGAAATGAAAACTGTGACAGCAGAAAATGTGAAAGGTGGAAGAAATGCCACCTGGAAACTCAAGTTAAAAAGAGACTTACAGATCATGGGAATACAATCCCATGAAAGAGAAAGAATATGTGACAATTAATGAAGTCAAAGAGACAAAGGTGATAAGAAAATCCAATACGAGGGCACACAAAAGTAGAAGGGTGACAGGAGTGGGAGAAAATGACAGCTACATGATCAGGGAGGTGGACTAGACAATCCCACATACAATGATAAAGGGATGTCATATGCAAAAGAAAGAGAAATGTGTGAGGGTGAATCAGAAGGGATAGAAAATTGAGACTCGAGGAGGTGGAATAACAGCGGGAGTGAATTGAAACCTGAAGTATATGCTGGGTGGGGCACTAACAGGGGAGAAGAAAAGAAACAATGGGTAGAAGGCACAAGTGAGGCTGGAAAGTCGAGATGTTCAGTAGGTAGATAATTATTGGGAGGAAAGTTGCTCCATTTAGTTTCACTCAACTTCAGCTTCAATATCTGTGAAGAAAGTGTGTGGCAAAGAAGGAAGAAGAAGGTCTAGACAGCAACACAGATCCCATCACACAGCGAATGATATGACATTACTCTTCCTCTTACTGCATTTTCAACATGAATGGCATCTTTTGTAATACACGAAGGCTGTCACAATCTCAACAGGCAAGAACTTCCCAAATTGTTGGTAACTGTGAGTGATATTTGAACTCACACCAGCAGAAGAAAAAAAAGTCATGTTAATTTAAATGGAAAGGTTGAAATTAAAAAGTTATTGAAATAACTACTTCAACAAGTCTCAGCAAAAATACACAAATCTAATCACAACTGTGCTGAGTGAAAACAATGAAAACTTTTGCATGCAAATGTAGAGGAAGCATTTGCACAAGTAGTTGTATCACACTCCTATTGGTGGAGGGTTTTTCTGCATGATACATGATCATGCAGTAGTGCAACTTCTCATGCTTCACGTGAATTTTACCTGGGAGTTTCACAAGGCTGGTGGCATGCAAATCTCTAATGCAGAATAGTGTGAATAGGAAAATAGCTATTCTATACATGGAACTGAGTTATAGTATCAGAACTATGCTTTCTGATAGGTAGAAAAAAATCTATATATAAATGCATTGCTTACATTGCTAAAAAATCCACAGAAATGTAAGTTTGAGCATGCCTTCAATTTTTCTTTAGAAATTACACTAAACAATTTCTATAAAACACCACAATATCAATTCTAAAATATTTCTATTTTGAGAATAGTTTAAACAGACTTAAAATGATTTTCTTTACTTAAATTTTAAATGCAGGTATGCACTCAACATCTAGTCATGATAAGGTCAAGTTGTTATTATGTGATGATCAGAAAAATCTTAAACATAAATTTGTATTTTTAAGCCAAATCATACTGTTGGTATTGTTAAACTGAAGCTCTCTTATACTATATAATGCTATACACAGCAAATCAATTCCAAAACAATTGTATAGAGCAAGTATCAAGATCAGCTTTTGAAGTTCTCTCATCTATACACCTAATTTTCAATCAACTAATGAGTAAAGTACAAAATCTATATTTCTATATCTATATTTTCATTTGACCCAAAATGTTTTTAATGTGCTATGTAACACATAATTTCACAAAAATATATTTCACCTTTCATAATCTGCTGAATTTCCATTTTCAAAGTAATAATCTCCCTGCCAGTTGTATCATCAAGTGTACGTTTCAGCCTATGGATGGTCAAATCTAATAATTGAGAATGTTTATACACAATGTGTTAGGTGTTTAACACAAAAGCATATGAGTGATAAACATATCATTTACTTGGAGTATTGAATAAAATATCTTAAATAAAATAAAAAGACAGAAAGCTATAACATTGTTTAAAGATTTATAAATATTAAACAATTAGCTTCTTGGCTAGAAGAGAATAATAATATAAAACAATTTGTTTGGGGCTGTATTGATAATAATTATAAATCTATAAACCAGTCTTAAAAATTTATCTTAGAACATTCATAAACCTGTTTGAGTAATAATCTTTTAGTCTATTTAACATGTCTTCATAAGAGCATGCTGATATGTTTAAATATGTGAATGAAAACCATTCTTCCTATATAATTTCTTCCAATAAACATTTTGAACTTATTTATGGTAACTTTTTCACTGCTGGTTAAATTTGTAATGATCAAAATAATGGCACATTATGACAAAAATACTTTGTACTTCAATTTAACTTTTTTTATTATAATAACATGTAACAATAGAAGATGTAGAAATCTGTTAATTATTTTAGCCTCTGTCTCTCTTTCTTTTATTCTGTCCTGAAATACAAAATACAAAAAAATAATAAAAACTAAATATGTGCTACACCTCAAAACACACACACATAAATGGACAAGCACACACATATGTTAAGATACCGAAAGAAAATTTTGCATCAGTTTCAATGATATTGTTTTTTAATTCTATGCATTTAGCAAAATAAGATTTTTTTTACATCATGAAATTAAATTTCAGTCATAAATTATAACTTTATTGTTGGTTATGATTACTCCAATATATATAAACTCTCATCCACAAGCCTTTGATAATTATAATGAAAGTATAAAGCACGGAACCAATATAATCTGACAAAAAACAAAACATTTAAACAATGACCTAAAATAATTACCTATAAAGCAATCAGGGTAAAAAATAACTTACTTCCATCAGAAATTGCAGCCACATCATCATCTTCTAAGAATATCACACGGTTTGTATGCTCGATTACAGCACTATAAGAACACATCAAGAAATATAATAATAAAATTTACTATATTGCAAGTACAACTTCAAAATGCACAAACAATTGATACATAAAATTAAAATTTTTTACTCACTCACATAATTTTGTACAAAAAGTATGGAGTATTAAACTGGTTTTTGTTGTTGTTTCTTGACACCTCAAAATTAACACAGGCTGTCATATTCAAAACATTTTACCTCTTTCTATAAGCTTTTTTATTCATAGGCATTGTTTATAACTGTCCCCATGTAGTCTCATTTTATGTGGAAAAGTGATTCAAACAAACCTGGCATCAGATGCAAAGAAATATTCTACTTCCTTATCTTCACCTAGTGGACAAAACTCAGTTGTAGACTCTGAACGCTTCATGCCAGCAGTGGTAGTTGGAATAGTTGATGTCAGACATGGACGATGATCTAAAGGTTGAATGGTGATGACGTGTTAACAAATAATATGGTAAAAAGTAATTATTTCAAGAAAATTACAATAATAGTTTATGTTTGGTAGTATGAAACAGGATAAATAACAAAATAACCTAATTGCTATTTGCTCAAAGTAATCATTTCTTATAAATTATTAAAATTGTATATTTAGAGATATTGATATAACTTATCAATTTTTGAATTTTCTTAAATATTAAAACAATGTTAGGGGTTGGCATGCACACTTAAAGAAGCTACTAGTGAGGAGGTACAATTTCTATTTAGAGTTTATAGGCTATCCTAAATAGGGTAGAGGAAATGGATGAAGAGAAAGGTAAACTATGGGAAATAACAGCAGGATTTAAAGTAGAACTTAAGCTTTTACATGCAAAGGATACAGTGACTAATAATAACTTTCAGGAAGTTCAAAACAGTTCTAATAGGGTTAGAATTAGTATATTTAATTATAATGAGCAGATTGTATAATGTAACAGATTTCAGCCTTTAGCTTGTGCAGATGATGAACTAGGGAGGGAAGAAAAACAAATGAGCAGATAGGGGTGGAAATGAAAAACAGAGGATATTGTTGTAGGGAATTTTTTAGTACAGTACATTGATAGGATAGTCTGTGGAGTAGGAAGAGAGATTAGAACCGGTTATATTCTGCACCCCTGCCCCTGGATAGCATAATCTAACAGGGCATGTGATAGTGATATAACGATGCAGTCTTTTTAGTGTACATAGGGGCTAATGATGTAGGAAAGGATAGGTCATAAAACTAATTATTAAGTACAAGGCATTGATAAAACCATTAAGAGAAAAGAGCCATAATGATTTAATTTATGGGGATGAAATTAAAGGTAGGTCAATAGGGTTGAATGCTAGGCTTACATTAATATGTAAGGATGGGCAGGTTGGCTAGTTGGATTTGTGGGATAAATTCAATGGGGAAAGGGAGCTTTTTGGAATGGATGGATTACATTTAAATAAGGTAGGAACTGGCTTGTATGCAAGGGAATTAACTTAACTAAGGGCAGCTTTAAAGTAGAACTAGACAGTGGTTAAGGTCATAATAATAAAAAAATAAAAAGGTAGAGAAAAGTATAGTATAGGAACAAAACACAGAAGTAGTTTTAATGGTAAGCTAAACTGTTATTATTCTAATGTTAGAAGTATAATAAATAAAATGGATGACTTTAGAGCACTAGTTAGAACAGAGGATTTTTATGAAATTGGAATAACTGAAACGATTAAATGTAGACAATTTTTACAATAATTTATTTGGAATAAAGGGTTATAGGTTGTTTAAACAAATACTAAAAAAAGGTGAGATGTGACTTTATGTATAAAATGTGAGTTACAGCCTGTTCAAGTTGAGGCTATCAAAACAAATAGCAATGAGTTTGAATCTTTTTGTATTTCTGTTAGTGGTTATAAGGGGAGAAGGCTTTTAATTGGAATTTGTTATAGACAATAAGATGAAACTGATGAAATTAACAAGAAACTCTACACTGAGATAAAGAATTCAGGTGTTAATGAGGTAATAGTTATGAGAAGTTTAAATTTTAAGCATATATATATGCTCTTCAATCTCCACCCTGTCAGCCATTTCTATGTTAGAACTTAACAATAAATCTAAATAGCATTGTTCCTATTAGGTTCCTAAGTTAATTGATGAAGAACACTGTCCAGAATTGTTTCTGAAAAGCTGTTTCCGTCATGATTTGACTCAAACATTTCCCAATATATATATATTCAGAAACTTGGGAAATGTTTGAGTCAAATCATGACGGAAACAGCTTTTCAGGAACAATTCTGGACAGTGTTCTTCATCAATTAACTTAGGAACCTAATAGGAACAATGCTATTTAGATTTATTGTTAAGTTCTAACATAGAAATGGCTGACAGGGTGGAGATTGAAGAGCATTTGGGTGCACGTGACCATTGCTCAATCAGATTTGATAATATATATATTCAGAAACTTGGGAAATGTTTGAGTCAAATCATGACGGAAACAGCTTTTCAGAAACAATTCTGGACAGTGTTCTTCATCAATTGACTTAGGAACCTAATAGGAACAATGCTATTTAGATTTATTGTTAAGTTCTAACATAGAAATGGCTGACAGGGTGGAGATTGAAGAGCATTTGGGTGCACGTGACCATTGCTCAATCAGATTTGATAATTTGCTGCATATCGATATAAGAATTAATGAGATTTTAAAAAACTCAAATTTTGAAGAGATGATGCAAAAATTATCACCTGTGAATTGGACAAATGAATTAATTGGAGGTACTGATAAAATGTGAAAAATTTAAAGAATAAATTCTTAAATATTTGAGATAGGCATGTTCCTTTATAGAAAAAAAAATGGCTACAACAATGGATAAAATTAAAGAAAAACACAATAAATATAAGAAGTTTGAATTAACTGTAATGATGGGAGATTTGGAGAATTATGAAAGATCATGAGAGTGTATCAAGTAAGAAATTAGAAAATCAAAAAAATATATGAAAAAAAGTTTGGTGGAAATGTAAAGATTAATGGCATGGATTTCTTTAAGTACAATAAGGGTAAAAAAAATGATAACAATAAAGCCTTTGAGGAATGATAACAGGAAAGCTTATATCTGATGATTATGAGAAGGCTGCAAATTCTACTTTTTTCAATTTTTTATTAATGATGATTTAAGCAATATTCTCCATCCTGCACAGTTGCTACATGGGAAAAAATGATGGAACAAGATGATCACATTAATTCTGAGCTAGTTAAGAAAAAATTGGGAAGTTTAAAGAATGATATAGCTCCTGGGCCAGATAATATTTACCCAAGGGTTTTGAAAAAGGTTAAGGATTGGATATGCGAGCTACTTGCTGCTATTTTTCTAAGTCCTTTGAATAGTGGGCAGGTGCCAGGTAATAAATAGTTATAGGCCTATCAGTGGTAGGTAAGGTTTATGAAAGTCTGATAAAAGATGCTTTGCGAAGCCATTTAACAAAGTTTAACATTTTGTTGGAGAGTGATAATACTTTCACTAGGGGGGAAATCTTACTTTACTAATCTTTTGACATTCTTTGAAGAAGTTTCTACTTATGTAGATCAGCGTATGGGTATGGATTTGGTGTATCTGGATTTTCAGAAAGTATTTGATAAGGTGCCATTAGTTAAACATTTAACATACATTTAAATCTCATTTCGTTAATTGATTAGGAAAAGAAGCATTTTGCACTACTACAAACATAATTTCATTAATACAAAATAAACTTTAAAATTTCACATTTAAATGTTCAATTGACTTAATTTGTTACAAAATAAATCCTTAAGAAAATCCTAGAATTAGCTGACAAAAACTGCATCAAAGAGATTACTTGGGAAAGTATGTTCAAGAAAGGACAAAAGTAAAAAAAGGTTTCATTCTTCTGGTTAGCATCAACCACTGAGCACACCCTTTCAGGTGTTTTAAAAAGGTCAAAAAACATGTGTAAAAATCCTTGACACAAATGTGTTTTAGCTATAGTACATGTTTTCCAAGGTTGGTTTCTAGTCTCAACGCCTGTTCTTTTTTCTGTTTTTGAGTCTTTAACTTTAATTAAAAAGAGTTAGAGTCAAAACTTTTTTAAAGAAGTGCAACATACTTCTCTATGTTACAAAATTAACTCATTTACAATTTTAATAACATACTGGCCATAATCAAATAAAGTACTGTAATTTTTTGGTAAAATGTAATCTTTTTTTATTTCATTCTTAAAATTTTGGTCACTGGTTTTAGGGTGAAATATTAAAGAACAATACTGTAATATAAAACAAGTTCAGATGTGATTTTTTAAAGTCAGTAAATAATGAAAGAAAAATGTATTTTAATCATCCAAATTTTAAAACATTATCATAGAAAATATTTTATAAAAAGATTTCCAATTACATTTTTCATTGTGCACTTAAAGACAGTAAACCATCTTTCTCAAGAACAAAGCTGAAACCCCATATGTTTAGACATGATGTGATTTTAATAATTAATGGTTTGAAGGTCCATAAACGTGAAACAATATACATGTAAAGATACAAATACTGTATATATTTATCATTAAACAGATTTAATACATTTCTTTCATGAGTTTCAGTGCTTATACTTCTCCACAGAGATATAAAATAATATTATATTTTTAATATAAAAGCATTTGCAAATGAACACAAAAAAATTAATAAACCTACCAACATACTGTGTACTTTTTCCTATCAACAAGTATATTTTCAAGATTTTTTTTTCTTCTAATCTTTAAAAAATATGATTGAATTAAAAAACACCAGCTCCTCTATGTTAAGAAATTAACTTACCTATAATTTATGTTAAATAATGTTTAAGAAAGTAAGCAGAGTAAAGAGTTTTAACAGCACCTGTGACTAAACTAAAACTTATTCATAACAGAAGATGAAATGAAACACGTACCTTCTCTATCTTTGGGATCACCTTCTACAGATCCATTTAACAGAGTAAAAGTTGTGTTTTTTATAAAGGAAAAAAAGCACATAACATGCAATAAATAGATTACTATGCGATTAAAAATACAGTAAAAATAGGATGCAAATGAAAAAGAAACTAAGAAATAAGATAAAAAGCAATATTTATGATAAAAAACATTAAAAACATGGTTTTAATGAACTAATATTTATAAATGGGAATCTTTCACAATGTATTTAATAATCACAGAACTTGTGAACATTCAGAGACATTTTTGATTCATAAGTTTATGTGCTCATACTTTCTCAGCAAGATATAAAACTGTTCTATATTTTCAATATAAAAGCAATAGAAACATTTCCAAATGTATATAAAAATTAAGAAACTTTCCTATGTACATAATTAAACAAAAACAAGCAAACAAGTCACCAATAGATATAGATAAGTAGACTTTCTAATTTGAGAAACATAAATAAATCATACATATATATATATAGCCATGTTCCCACATACCTGGTTTCATTTTGTTTTCTGAGTCTGGTTTGAAAAATGGAGTTGATAAGTGTTGAAGATACAAAGGATGGAAAATAATAAAGTTAGAAAAACAATGTCATATTTTAAAGCACAACATTTGAAAAGTTAATATTTTCCTACAATGAAAATATATTTCTGATAGATACTTACCTCTACTCAGAAAATAGCTTTTATTGATTTGTACTGCCCTCTAGATGCGCAAATTTTCACTCACCACTAGCCTGTATGCTCCTATCTACCTCCACATCATATAGCTGCATTGTACCATGCAAATAAGTGTGTGACAACCCTCCACCAATAAGAGTCTGACACACCCTTCTAGCACAGCTGTCTCCCTCTATGCAGTTGAACCCAATCTTCACTTCAAGATTAGGCATGGAAAAAACACACCATATGTGAGGAGGAAGGGTGGGAAGTATGAGAAGAGATAAGTATCTATCAAAAATATATTTTTAGTGTAGGAAAATATTAACTTCCAATACAATATTTTACCTCTTCTCACAAAATAGCTAGAATCCCACAATCAGCAGGTGGAGGAACCAGCATAAAAGTTCCCCTAGATGAGTCCCCTTCAGAAAGCATCTGAAGAGTACCCTAGGAGTGTGACTGATCAATGTAGAGGAAACACACTTGTGGGAGACTGTACCACATCTGAAACAGATACTCTTCACTCTTGATGAATTAAGTCATGAAATAGGGAGAAAAGAGGTACACCTAAAAAAAAGTGCATTTGGTGTAGAATGGCTAGGGTATGTTAGATCACAAGCGAGAGGTCAACTCCAGTTCAAAACCATTCACTTCAGACTCAGGAAATGGCATGAAAGAAGTACTTCAGTTCCAAAAACCAAAGTCTTCATATGTGCATATCCAGCATGACAAACACCTATACTACCATGGGAACCAACATGTGGATGATGGTAGGAAGGTGGAAATGTAATGTGGAAGACCAATACCAACTCCAGTCCAAGACTATGTGGTGTTGGAAATGTATCACCCTGTCTGTGGTAGGAGGAGGGTCCTAGCCCACTCACATATGAGGACTTATGTTGACTGGTCTGGCTCCAACCAACACCTGGGAACCGACATCCAGGTGGCAGTAGGAAGAAGGGTTCCCAGTTGGAGGGGTGAACTGCATATTGGAATGTGATGGAAAATTCCAGTCCACACCGTACAGCATCTGAAATCATACATCAGATCGATGGTAATAGGATAATCCTTCCACCTACACCAGAAGAATACCACCATCCTACCACCAGAAAGTGCAATGGATGACTGCAAAAACCCTATTTTGAAAAGCAGACTATACCTGATTTATACAATCACAAAAACAGCAGGGATGGGCAGCAATCCCCTTCTACTTTACTCATGTTATTCCATGAGTGCATGGTCTGGGATGAACATATTTAGGAAGCAAGACACTGCAAGGATGAACCTACAAGTGGTGTTGCAGAACACTCCATCTCAACAGCAAGCATTGGTGACTTTAATATTTGTACAGTGAGGATTTAACAATTAGTATACATGGATAGGCACCACTCCCCACAGAGCAGGATCCTAAAAGAAGTGCAAGGAGGTCACAGTAAGAGGAAAATATATATAAGGAAAAGACACATACTCACTCACAAATGAACTGATGAGTGAAGAATGGTGACAGTGGCAGGAGGTAGATGATATCCAGCTGAGACATAAACTGCCAGATGATGGAGATAATGTGACACAGATGTATGAGGAGGGGGCCACATGTCAGCCTGGACAATCTTCTCCAAAGAATGAAGAAGATGAGCAGCCAAAGACACTGGTAACAGGAGTCAAGAGACAAGGAGGAAAAGGCTATACGTATAAGTCAGTCAGGTAACAGGAGAAAGGTCATGGGAAACTGAAGGATTCCAGTTTATAAACAATCTGGAATAGGAACCATGGAAAGAAGCCATGCAAGCCACATAACACTGCACAGCCCTGACCAGACAATCCGGTGGTCAGGATCAGTTTGGGAAATCAAAGGAAGGGAAGTAAGAGTGAAGGCAACATTACCTTCACATGCAGCAGAGATTTCTGGAAGGAAGGTATGATCAGGATAAAGGAAAACAAGTTTTGTGGTAAAGGATGCAACAGACATTGAGGGGGAACACATCTGACCATCAACATGCACAGCCCAACAGGAGGACAAAAAAGATTTTCAAGGATAGGTGATATAGGGAACAGGAAGCCAATTGTTGAAACAGAGGGAGGGAAAGGGCATGTAGGACAACATTAATATCCCAACCTGGTAAGGGTATTGGTAGAGGCAGACTATGAAGATAAAATAAATGAAACAAGAGGAAAATAACAGGAGAGGAAAATACATGGTGGAAACAGGAAAAACATGGTAGAGAATAACGCTGCTCTATAACCAGCAATGGTTGAAACAGAAAGATCATTGTCGAAAAGCCAGGTAAAAAGTTTGATAGGTGAGGGACAGAAAGTAAGGAAGAGATGAATCCCCAATGGTGAGACCAATGGCAAAAAATACACCACTTATGCTGGTACACTGAAATGGAAGAGAGGCAGGCAAAGTGGGAAAGAAAAGATGCTATCCGAGTGGAAAGTCCTGAACTTCTAACAATGGACCGGACAAATGCCATGCATGAAACCAGAGTGTGGGGAAGGATGAACAGATGAAGCACTGCCAAATGAGGATGAACAGAGTAGGAAAGGACAGAGAGCAAGAGGCAACAGCAGTGATGACTGAAAATGGAGAAGTCTTAGGAACCAAGGTTGAGCTGGTCTGAACAGAGCCACTAGAAGAACTTGACCTGGAGTGGTTTGGATAAAGGATACGACCCTGGAAAGAAGATGGAAGAGGATAGGCATAAATGTAGAGGACCGTCAAATTTTGACTGAGGGCATCTATTGTCAAAGGAACAGGAGATCAAAACATCTAGCAAGGGAATATTGAGAATCCAACTGAAAGCATAGCCATCTGAAAATATCAGGGTAGGATAACTGATCCACATCAATATTGACAGCACCTTGGATATGACAAGCCAGCAAACAAATTCGATGGTTATGGGCTCAGGCAGCAGGTCCAATGTTTGAAAACATAGAGACCAAGACTAGGTGCCCCCTTGCTAAGTGATGTAAGATACAACTGTTCTTGGAATGGTTCATCATTATTTTGCCCCTTGTAGCTGGCAGGAAAAGAGGCATTGCCCAATGAACAGCTGAGAAGATTGATATGGAAACTCAACTCAACTAAAGACCAATGGCCCACACCCCTAAGCCCAACAGGGAAGCATCCCTAGAAAGGTGCATCTCCAGTCACAGAAGAAAATGGACACCAGCCATTGTCTTATTCCTGTCCAACCATCAGGCAAATTCTGTCTGAAGGGAAGGAGGAATGGATACCAGGTAGTCCAGATGATCCTTGGTGAGGTTCCATTGATTATGACGTACCCAATGATGGTAATGAAGAGACTTCATGTGAGTTCAGCCATGGGGAATAAGGATCTCAAAGGAAGCCCAAGTCTCCATAAGAGAACCTCTGATGCAGCTAGAAAAGATGAGGATTGAGTCTTCTGAATTATAAGCTCCATGGAAGACTGTCGAAGGGGAGAAGGCTGGGCCTGACTACATGGAAACTGAAAAATACCCCAAGATGAATGAGGTCTTGAGTCGGTGTAAGAACAGGCTTCTCCAGCTTGACTAGCCAACCCACCTGAGCAGATTCCCTGTTGAGAAAGTGAGTATTGATGGAAGAAGCTGAAAGCGAAATAGCTAGAAGGAGCCAGTTGTCCATGTAGTGATGGAAATGAAGTTCGTTTGAAGGAAGAAGTCAGGCAAAGGCCTTGACCACCCAACAAAAAGTGTAGGGGAGAATCTGGAACTGATATACACATCCCCTGTGGTCAAAGCAAAGATAATGATGAGATGCAGGGAAAACGGGGATATGAAGTAAGCAGTAGTGGTTGTGACTTGAAACTGTGAATTCACGTTAATTTGCATGAGTGTAATAACACTCCATGGAAAAATAGATGAAGTCAAATCAATATGAAGCAGTTAGGAAACTGCACGAAAAAGATGATAAACGAAATTTAAAAAATTCAAATTAAAAAAACCTTTTTAAGTTCGAAAATAAAGGCAAAGTCACAATTTTAAAAGGCAATTGAACAACAAATTAAACAAGTGGAGCAAGACATCTGATCACTGTCAAGCTAAATCAAGAAGTGAAGATTGGCTTCTTCTGCACAGAGGGAGTCAGCTGTTCTAGGAGGGTGATGTCGCATTCCTATTGCTGGAGGGTTGTTGCATTCTTATTTGCATGCTACAATGCAGCTATACCACATGGTAAACACGTGGAGGTAGGTAGGTAAGAGCATAAAGGCTAGTCTGAGTGAAAATTTGCACATATAGAGGACAGTACAAATCAATGAAAGCTATTGTGTGAGTAGAGGTAAGATATCATTTTGAAAACATTAAACGAAGTCAATAATTGTCATAGTATCAATCATTCAAAACAAATACATTTAGAAAAACTGCAAATATTAAAAGAAATGACATTTTGAAAATGAAATTGCAAAAAACAGACAATTAAATGAAGTGAAAAATAAAATATTTTTTGTGGTCATGTAGTTTAATTAATTTCTCTACCTATTATGAAATTGCAAAAAACAAACAATCAAATGAAGTGAAAAATAAAACATTTTTTGTGGTCATGTAGTTTAATTAATTTCTGTACCTATTCACATATCTAAAATTGAGTACAAAAAATGCAACATTCTCTTATTTCTTAAATCATTATGTAGTACTAAGTTCAGAAAAATAACTTATTTTTGATAATTACGTGTTTATTTCTATACTTTTTGTGAAGAAAAATAATATATTAAATCTTAATAAGATACTAAATTAAATTTAAACATAATTTCATGACTTTATTGATTAACTGTTTGGCCTACCCAAAGTCCAGTCAATACAGTTTGTTAAAACCAGTGCTCAAAGAGAAAATCAGGTTGCTATAAAATTCAAAT